AAACACCTTTGTTCTGATCACCCTGTGTATGCGACCAGTTCACTCTCCCACTCCCCGCCCCCCCAACCTACATAAAGTCTTGCTGTCCTTAAATAAAATGAAACTGCCTGACAGGATCCCTGCTGTGCTCATGTGCTCATTTCTCCGTTGAGGCGAGTGGCATAGGGTTTGCTCTTTTCTGCGGACCCCTCCCTTTACAGGAAGGGTAGATTGGCCCAGTCCTTAGAGCCCTGAGCAGCGGCCTCTTGCTGAACTAGGGAGCGGGCCAAACAGAGGCCAGAAGAAGAAGACCCCGACAAATGTTCATCAGGGAAATTAGCATAAAGTTGTTTTTTAATAGTATCTGTATATGTTTTGACTATTAGTATAATGTTAACTTTATAGAAGCTGTTAGAACAAATCTTTTTTTTCCCCAGTAGTTTGGAAGAGTTTAGGAAGCAATTAAGCAATCAAAGTTAGTCTTCTTTGAATGTGTTATGGACCTTACCAATGAACCAACTTGAACTAAGACTTTTGTTCTAGAGGAGAATCTTAATTACTCTTTAAATTCCTTTGCTTGTGATTGGCCCATTCAAGTTTCATATATTCACCTTGCTCCCGTTTGGGATGTTAGATGATTCTAAGAATCTATCCATTCCATCTAGGTTACATCATGAAAACTATCATTTCATGATACCTCGATTTTTCAAAGGTGTTATTTTCTCTTTCATCTCTAATCATATATTTATGCACTTTATTTTTTCTTTGAGTGTAGTTAAAGTATTTTCTATCTTGTTTATTTTTTGAGAAATAATTTGTTCAGTATTGTTTTTATAAATCACATAAATGAATGTTTATTTGTATTGTAGAAAATTTTTAGGACTGCATATACAGAATGTTCAATAAAAGGCACACAAAATTAGAAGCATTTGAACAGATCTGTAAAAGCATTTTAATTGTGTTCTGAAGTGACTCGTGGTTTATATTAGCTTGTCAACTTTTTTTATAAAGTTATTTACAATATTTGATTACATTTAATATTCAAAGATCAATCCCACCACCATTACACCTTTCCATTGCCATATTTCAGATGTTTCTATCCTGAACCCCAACCCCTGCCCCAAAGCAGAACCAAAGTAATTGATTTTGTATTGTTTGTTATAAAAACCACTGAAAATGCTACAAAAAAAAGTTTCCTTAGAGGAAGAGTGTTAAATTATTTCACACAAGAGTCATTAAGTCCATCTATAAAAGATCACCAACATGTTGTTAAAGGCTGCGCCTTCAGAAATCACTACTGGCAGTGTAATCCATAATTTATAAGGACCTGTCCTCTAGATAGGCAGATTTTTCTATGAGTACCCATGTTTTTCCATCTGGTATATAAAGGTGTGAAGTTTGACTGCATGGTTCCAGGAAGCTGCAGACCAATGGAACAGGGTTGAATACACTGACATCTCCCCCCAAGCATACGAGCATCTAATCTTCGATAAGGGGGCAAAAAAAGTGAAGTGGAGCAGGGAAAGCCTCTTTAACAAATTATGCTGGCAAAACTGGACAGCCACATGCAAAAAAAAATGGGCTCAGATCTCTGCCTAACTCCATGTACAAAAGTAAGATCTAAGTGGATTAAAGACCTCAACATCAGACCAGAATCTATAAGGTACATTGAGGAAAAAGTTGGCAAAACCCTCCATGACATAGAAGCTAATGATGTCTTCAAAGATGTCACACTGCTGGCCAAGAAAGTGAAAATAGAGATAGACAAATAGGACTATCTTAAACTAAGAACCTTCTGCACCTCAAAAGAAGCTCGAGCGGGCCCAGTAACGTCTCCATTGGAGACTTTGTTTTTTTGCCTTACAAGCGGTCAACATTGCCGACCCGAGTTCGATTCCTCCGCCCCTCTCGGAGAGCCCGGCAAGCTACCGAGAGTATCTCGCCCGCACGGCAGAACCTGGCAAGCTCCCCGTGACATATTCGATATGCCAGACACAGTAACAACAAAGTCTCCAATGGAGACGTTACTGGGCCTGCTCGAACAAATCGATAAACAACGGGAGGGCCTTTACCTCAAAAGAAGCAGTGACCAAAATACAAAGACAGTCTACAGAATGGGAAAGAATATTCGCCAACTACACATCTGATAAGGGGTTAATTTCAAGGATATACAAAGTACTGGTTGAACTCCACAAAAAGAAAACATTCAACCCCATCAAATAATAGGGAGATGAGATAGAAATTTTCACAAAGAAGAAATTCGAATGGCTAAAAGGCACATGAGAAAATGCTAAACATCATTAATCATCAGGTAGATGCAGATCAAAACCACAATGAGATATCACCTCACACTACAGAGACTGGCCCATATCCATAAGAACAAAAGTAACCGGTGCTGGTGGGGATGTGGTGAGAAAGGGACACCCCTTTACTGTTGGTGGGAATGCCGACTGGTTCAGCCCTTTTGGAAAACAGTATGAACGATTCTCAAAAAATTAGAAATTGATCTCCCATTTGACCCAGCAATACTACTCCTGGGAATATATCCCAGAGAGGCAAAAAAGTATAGTTGAAGTGACATCTGCAATTGTCTGTTTATTGCAGCACTCTTTACAATAGCCAGAATCTGGAAAAAACCTGAGTGCCCAAGAACAAATGACTGGTTAAAGAAACTTTGATACATCTGCACAATGGAGTACTATGTAGCTGTTAGAAAAGATGAAGTCATGAAATTTACATACAAGTGGTACAACATGGAAAGTATCATGCTAAGCAAAATGAGTCAGAAAGAGATGGATAGACATAAAAAATTGCATTCATCTGTGGAACATAAAGTAACAAAATAGGAGATTAATACCCAAGAATAGCCGAGATCAGTACCACGAGGTTTACTCCATGGCTTAGAGGCCAACCGGGCATTCTAGGGGAAAGGGCAGCTCAGATAGAGAAGAGAGCACCAAATAAAAGTTGTTTGGAGGATCCTCCCAGGAGGGGAGATGCATTTTGAAAGTAGACTATGGACTGAACATGATTGCCACTCAATGCCTCTTTTGCAGACCACAAAACCCAAAAGGAGAGAGAGAACAAAAAGGAATACCCTGCCACAGAGGCAGGGTGGGATGGGGGGGATGGGTGTGGGAGGGATACTGGGATCCGTGTTGGTGGGAAATGGGCACTGGTGGAGGGATGGGTATTTGATCATTGTATAATTGAAACCCAAGCACAAAAATGTGTAAATCTTCAACTGTACCTCATGATGTCTCACTATTAAAAAATTTTTTAATAAAAAAAAATTATTTTTGTGTTATTCATTCTGCTTGTTTTATGTATACATTAACATCAGAATGAAATAATGGTGTTTGTATTTTTGACTACTTTTCTTTAAAAAAAAATAGCTAGATCCATCCATGTATTCCTGCAGAATTATTATATATATAATATATACAAATTCTATAAAATAATTAACATAATTAAATAATGCAATATATTATATTATTTAATACATATTATATAAATATGATATATACTGTAGCATATTATTTTATATGAATATTTGCTAAAATAATGTCTAAGCTCATCTGGAAAAATAAACATATAAAAATGACAATAATAAAACTAAATTAAAGTTAGAGACAATACATTTAAGACATAAAACATTAAAACACCTTTTAACTACATCTACATGTTACCTGACATTTCACCGAAACAGAACATAGAATATATAACTATCTACCAACTATATATGAAGCATATAAGTAAATATATGCTCATCTGATTTTAAATTTGACTAATAAAAACATTTCAAAAACTGATACAAACTCATTAGTGCCACAGATAAAAAAATATATTTTATCTGTTAAACATATTAGACATTTTAGCATTAATAAGCACTTAAATATATAGAAAACAAAAAATAAATTCATATTTATTACATATAGGTTATTGAAAGCAATTATTGGACCTTGTTAGCAGACATAGCAAAAAAGGAAATACAAATTTTAATCATAAACAGAATTGTAACTGTGTATCAAGCAGTGATTTAATAAAAAAGTAATTATTAGAAACACACACATACAAAAACACATACACACAAAGTATTGTGGTATGATAACAACTAACATATTAGCTACACTAATTTTTATGTGTACAATACTGATAACTGTAGGAATAATGTTATCAGTGAACCTTAAAAATTTTTTAATATACTTTACTTATAAATATTTCTATTTTAAATAGTATTTTTACAGGCCCTTTTAGAAAATTCACGTGCAATCTTTTTATTTTAATTACAAATAAAATATTATAATTATTATTACCGGTAAAAAATAATAACTAACTAGCTAACAAAATGAATAAGCAAACTCAATAACCAGAAGAAAAGAGGCCTTTTCTCTTGGGTGAGGCCCAAGCACACCCTGGCTAATTTCAGGCCTTACTCATGGCTCTGTGCTCAGGTGTGACTATTCTCAGTGGCCTGAGGGAACCTTATGTTGTACCTGGGATTGAACCTTAGTTGGCTACAAGGAAGACAAGTGGGCCTAAGACATATTGGAAAAATGGAAAATCTAAGTTGAACAGTCATTTTATCAATCATCAAAAAAAATGACATTTTATTTTAAAAATGTTCATATTTAGCCTAAATTTATGCTAGAATACAGTTTTGATGAGATTGATAATTTGATCAGTAATTATAGGTAACAGTTTACTGACAGTTATTAAAGGCCCTACAAATTTTATTAATTACGCTAAATACTCTCACTTCCAATAAATTTATTAAGCAAAGACATATATTAATCTGTGTCATTGTGTTATCATATGACCAAAATATTAAAAAAAATTTCTAAATATTTGCCCTAAATATTTTAATTTAAATTTTTATTACATGAAAAATGAATTGCAAAAGTTTTATAAACTAAGAGTGATTTGGGAATCATACATATAGAATTAGAAATTATATAAGTAAGATTGAAAAATTGATTTAAAATCATTATATTCATCTTTTATATTTTATAATATGTCAGAATTAAGTAAAAATTGTATTTATTTTTACTCCATTTTGTACATTTGTGATCCTAAAAATAAGAGATATGAAGTTCCATATTCCAACTACTCTAATAAGTACATATAAAAATAGACTTTATGACATTGAAATAAAAAAATTCTTTTGGCAGCCAAATTCAATGGCGAAGTACAGGAAGAGTTATGCAAGTGATTGAAATAGTTGATTTCTGTGTTATTTTAATTTTACTCTGGAGCGATAGCACAGCAGTAAGACCTTTGCCTTGTCTGCAGCCACCCCGACAAACACAGGTTCGATTCCTCCGCCCTTCTCAGAGAGCCCGGCAAGCTACTGAGAGTATCTCACCTGCAGGTCAAAGCCTGGCAAGCTCCCCGTGACGTATTCAATATGCCTAACACAGTAACAAGTCTCAAAATTGAGATGTTACAGGGCCCGCTCGAGCAAAATTGATGAACAACGAGAGGACAGTGCAGTGCAGTACTCTTTAAGGGGGAAAAATAAGATGATTATTTTCCCAGCATCTATAAGGGACAAGTGGTAAGGATAGGTCACTTACAGTTTGGATCAATTGACATGAAATCAGTTTGTTAATTTTATACTAAAACTCAAGGTTAGGACATTGGCAAAAATTACTAACAAAAATCTTTGTAAATATTTAATAGTTGTTGGAAAGAGTCTTACATCCAGTACAGTTAATATTATCTTAATATAAACTGTTAAGAGTTTAATATATATGAATATATATATATATGTTTAAGAGAGTATTCAAAATGATATAACTAACCCCTTCAAATGATAACATTAAGTGACACGTTTCCATAATTTACGTTTGTTGCACTATCATAAGATTTTATAAGCATAATAAATGATTGTGGTGGAAAAGGAGACTTGGGAGAGCAGAATATCAGCTTACTCTTTTAAAATATCCTTATCTTGGCTGGAGCATTAGCACAGCGGGTAGGGCATTTGCCTTGCACGCTGCCGACCCGGGTTTGATTCTCAGCATCTCACATGGTCCCCTGAGCACCGCCAGTAGTAATTCCTGAGTGCAGAGCCAGGAGTAACCCCTGTGCATTGCCGGGTGTGACCCAAAAAGCAACAACAACAACAAAAAAATGTATCCTACTCTGTTATCCTACTCTATTCGTGATAAAGGAGTGATGTGAGTTTAGAAAAATTATGTATAGTACAGATCCAGGGGTGAGCACGAACAAGCTTGGGAGGGGGATAAACAGGGGTGGTTGTCTTCAGAACACAATTCTTCTGGATTTCTTCATAAATACCAAATTTTAGAAACACAAAAGAAGAAAATGATTAGGAGTTGCATGTAGGAAACATTTGAAAGTAAGATACACACCATAGTGTGTAATACTTCACAGTTTAATACTTTAATACTGATTTATTTTTATTTGTATATAGTAAAATATTACTTATTTTCTCAAAGGAAAAAGGAAAATATAGAACTTTCAATGTCTAGGCATATATTGATTCTATATTATATATTATTTGTGAACCATATTAATTTTATTTAAAAAATAATTGCAGTCTAAAGATAAGCAATTATAGTTATAACATAACATGGTTACATAGTTATGAAATTATAACATACTATGATATAGCACAGTTATACTATTACATTAGTAATGTGAAATATATCCTATATATTATGCATAATCTTCAAGACAATGAAAAAATGTATCGTAAGAATGATCGTTTTCATTTGGGAACAATAATGCATTTAGGAAAAAATTCTAAGTTTTAGATATCTCGCCCGCACGGCAGAGCCTGGCAAGCTCCCTGTGACGTATTCTATATGCCAGACACAGTAACAACAAAGTCTCCAATGGAGACGTTACTGGGTCCGCTCGAGCAAATCGACGATCAACGGGAGGGCCTTTACTTTTTTACCTTTAGATAATCTAATCACTTAATCCCCGTTATTCATCGATTTATTCGAGCGGGTGCCAGTAACGTCTCCATTCATCCCGGTTGCGTGCTAGCGTAGCCCAATGGTATCTGTTCGTTTTAGGAACATGTAGAGCCTCAAACCGATCATTTAGGGTCTTGACGAAGAAGTCTGACCATCTTATAGGTGGGCGTCCACGTGATCTTTTGATGTCTCGTGGAATCCAATCAGTAATGGCTCTAGTCCAGCGGTTGTCTGTAAACCTCATTACGTGTCCAGCCCATCTGATTTTTGATGTCTTGGCAAATGAGACAGCGTCCCTGATTCTTGAGCGTTGACGAAGATCAGAACTCCGGATTCTATCTCTCATTTGAGTGAATCGTGATATTCCAAGCATAGTTCTTTCGATTCCTCTTTGAGAGACCCGAATAGTGTTCTCATCCTGTTTTCGTAGGGTCCAGGTTTCTGAGGCATATGTTAATGCAGGAAGAATAGTGGAATCAAAGAGATGTGCTCATAGCTGGAGGTTCTTTGTCCTTTTATTTATTTCTTCAATGCTCTTGAAGGCATTCCAAGCCACTCTCTTTCTCCTGCGCAACTCAGGTGCCAGGTCATTCATCATGTTGATTTCTCGACCTAGGTATATATAACTGTTGCATTCGGAGATGGTGGTTCCGTTGAGAGCGAATGGAGCGTCAGGAATAAGGCTGTTTCTCATAAACATTGTCTTCGTAAGATTCAGCTGTAGTCCGACCTTTCCACATTCACGGTCAAAGTTGTTCAGCATTTGTGCCGCTTGGTTGATGTTTGGTGTTATTAGAACGATGTCATCAGCAAAGCGGAGATGGTGTAGTTGCCGACCATCTATCTTCACTCCCATGTTTTCCCATTCCAGTCGTCGCATGATGTTCTCTAGGGTGGCACTGAAGAGTTTTGGTGAAATGGTATCACCCTGCCGAACCCCTCTCTTGATATGGATGATTACTTCTTTGTAGAATGGTGAGATCTTGGTAGTGAATCCGCAATAGAGCTCACGAAGGATCCTGATGTATTGAGTTTGTATGCCCCAATTGGCTAGGGCTTCCATGACCGCTTCCGTCTCAACAGAATCAAAGGCCTTCTTTAAATCAATGAACGTTAGACAGAGCAGCATCTTGAACTCCCGAGATACCTCAATGAGCTTGGTTATTGTGTGGATATGGTCGATGGTACTGAATCCTTTTCGGAATCCAGCTTGTTCACATGGTTGTCCTTCATCTAGTGTTCTGCTAATCCTATTCAGGATGACTAAAGTGAATAGTTTGTAGATGACAGACAATAGGCAGATGGGCGATAGTTGCCAATGTCGTGGATGTCTCCTTTCTTGTATAGTAGTACAGTCCTGCTGGTTTTCCATTGGGATGGAACTTTGCATTCAGACAGGTAGTGTGTGAAGAGCCAAGCCAATGTATTGATGAGTACTGATGGTAAGTTCTTCAGGTGTTCAGGTCTGATCTTGTCTGGGCCAGGTGCTCTTTGTTTCTTTACCGACGAGATGGCATGTTGGATTTCGGAAGGGAGAACATTGGGAACGACATATCCATCATGTGGTATGTGGTATGTGGGCAAGTGGATGTGGCTATTAAAGAAATCTGAGTAGAAGTCATGAATAATCTTCTCCATTGCCCTTCTGGAAGATGTGATAGATCCATCATGATGTCGGAGGGCAGTCATCTTGGTTTTGTAGTTGGTGAAGGACAGGCGGGCATTACGAATGTTTTTCCCAGCTTCTGCTGCATCTACCAGTACTGCTGCTCTCCTGTTTTTGAGGTCATCCTTGGTGGCTTCTCTGCACTGTTTTGCCAGTTCGGACGTTCGCTTGTGGTTGCCAGAGGCACGTGCCAAGCCACGTTGGCGAATAAGTTCAAGAGTGTTCAAAGAAAGACGGTTTTTTGTGGTTATCTCTCTCTTGGCATTCCTCGCACAATCATGGAGGTACTGAATCATTCGATCGTATTCCTCATCAATGTTGTCAAAGACAGCATCTTCCCATGTTGCCACAATAGAGCCAAAGAGCTCCCAGTTGGTGGTTGTTCTGGGAGTCCTCTTCTTAAACCTTGCATTCTTTTCTCCTCGTTCTGTGAGGTAGAATTTTGCACAAAGAAGACGGTGGTCTGATCCCGTTTGGAATTTTGGGACAACAGCAACATCGGTTAGGCAAAACCGCCGATTGAATATGATGTGGTCTATTTCATTGTGGAACTGTCCATCGGGAGACTCCCATGTCCAACGTTTAGATTCAGCCTTTTGGAATTGTGAGTTACCATGGAAGGTTTTGGTTGACATGATGAACTCAGACAGTCTGTCACCCTGTTCGTTCCATTCCAGGCCATGGGTTCCGATGTGGAGTTCATCGACTGATCTTCTTGGTCCTATCTTGGCATTAAAATCACCGACAATGATCTTGTAGAAGGTGTGATCTTCTTTATAGAACTTCTCCAGCTCCATGTAGAATTTCTCAGTTTCTCTTTCACCATAACTGGATGTTGGTGCATAGACAACAAAGATAGAAACTGCCGGTAGTGAGCCACATTTATTCAAGTGTAATCGTCCGATTCGGGTTGTTAGGCATTCAAATGAATCAATGCTCGTGACTAAGTTTGTGTTGACAAGGATACCGACACCACCGATGCCTCTTTTATCACATGTTCCAAGGAACAGTTCTTCTCCAGTGTCGAAAACAGCATGATGGGATTGATGTCTTCTCGTTTCGGTCAGACCAATGATGTCGTACTTGATCTTTCGTGCTTGTACCATAAGGTCTTCAACGGATGCAGCAGATGCCAGCGTACGAGCATTAAAAGTACAGACAATCATTTTTGTTTTTCTGCGTTTTGGTAGCCTATGTCTGCCTTGGTGTTTTATCAGCCTCTCCTTCCATATCCTTCTCGACTCTGCATATTCAGGGTTAGGGAAATGAAATCCATTTATTACTGGATTTGGCATATCAATTTGGTCTATTTGGCATAGACTACGGATAGCTTGCCAGGCCCTGCCGTGCGGATTGGATATTTAAGGATATTTAAGGTACCCTGAAAACTTAGAGAAAAGTAAGAAAAAATAAAAAAAGTAAAAGAAAAAATAATCTAATATTTATCATTAATCATGACACTATTTTATATATGATATATATGAATATATGATAAAATAGTATATAATGTTTTAAATATAAGGTAAAGGTAAAAGGTAAAGGTCCTCCCGTTGATCGTCGATTTGCTCGAGCGGGCCCAGTAACGTCTCCATTGGAGACTTTGTTGTTACTGTGTCTGGCATATCGAATACTCTCGGTAGCTTGCCGGGCTCTCCGAGAGGGGCAGAGGAATCGAACCCGGGTCGGCCATGTTGGCCGCATGTAAGGCGAACGCCCTACCCGCTGTGCTATTGCTCAGCACAGCGGGTAGGGCGTCTGCCTTGTACGCAGCCAACATGGCCGACCCAAGTTCGATTCCTCTGCCCCTCTCGGAGAGCCCGGCAAGCTACCGAGAGTATTCGATATGCCAGACACAGTAACAACAAAGTCTGCAATGGAGACGTTACTGGGCCCGCTCCAGTTTTAAATAAGTGTATATAATATTAATGTATAATATGGTATTATGTTTATATATTATACATTTATATATTAATTTGTATGCGGGTATATAATTTCCTTTTTTTTTTCAGTTGGGATTCATCCCTATCTGGATTAACTTTTAATGGCCAAGTCATTAAAATACCTATTCGTCTGCCATCAGAATATGCATATGGCACTGGGGAAATGGAATACATGCAATTTAAAAGAGATCTGGACTGGCATACTTTGGGGAATGTTTAACAGAGACCAATATCCTGATGTAGTTGGCACTCATTACTGCATATTAACAGTTATAACTATGATTAGGATTTGAATCACTTATTTATTGACTTGTATTTCAGTATTGAATGTGAAAGGTTTTAGAGAGCTCTAAAGATCCTTTAGTTATTTTTTGAAAAAAAAAAAAAGAACAGAATGAATTATAGGTGAAAATAGAGAAGTCGATATATAATATGATATGCTCCAATGAAAAGTGAGAACATTATGGAATTCCAGAAGGGTCTTAACTGCATAAGAGAAATAGAAGTTTCCTATGAAATTACTTTTATTCTCATATTTTTAAATAACTAACTAGATCTTGCCTTATATTTTTAGTTATTTTCCCCCTATTACCCACAACTGAAGTTGTGCATTTTTGAGGATTTATTGTTAATCATAAAAATATAAAATATTTCTATAACTTCTTATTTTCCCTGAATGTATTCTTAATGGGCTGGAGCAATAACACAGCGGGTAGGGCCTTGCACGCAGCCAACATGGTTGAGTCGAGTTCGATTCCTCCACCCCTCTTGAAGAGCCTGGCAAGCTACCCATGACGTATTCGGTATGCCAAACACAGTAACAATTGTCACGATGGAGACATTACTGGGCCTGCTTGAGCAAATCGATGAACAATGGGAGGACAGTGACAGTGACAGTATTCTGATTAATGGAACACATTTAAAGAATTTGAACACAATTTTATACCTAATATTAACTACGCTTAACCTAATCTTATTAAGTTTTGATAAAATATAACATTTTCTTTTAAAATGTGAATTTCATCAAAATGATTTATTGAGAATGAGATTATAAATGTGTATATTACTGATACCACATCGTCTTTTAAGTACTTAAATGACTTTTAGTGTGTTGTAATAGATCAAACGTACATTGGGAAATCTCTTTTTTATTTATACTCACTTGAAAAATTATGCTTACCAAAATTTATTTTATTAAATTTATTCAACATTGAGGACACAGAAATCATACAGAAAGTAAGGTGGTAGTCCTGCATGTGCTCTGTTGTCTGCAAACCTACCTTGGTATCTCAGCACACTATATGGTTCTCTGAGCAGAGTTGGTGTAACGCTGAGAACAGAGCCAATGATATCCTGTGAAAAGCACTAGGTGTGCCCGCCACTTTCCTAAAATAAATTTAACATTGAATTAGAGAGACTGAACAGAGTTTAAGGATTGCTTAGGATGTGGCCAAACCCAGTTGGATCCAGGACCATATAGTATGCTGAGTATTCTAGGGAGTAAATTTGAGCACAACACCAGGTGCTGATAGGCGTGTTCTAAACCTCCAATAATAATAATAATAATAATAAAAACCCCGCATTCTAAAATAATTCAGTTTTAGTTTGACATTACTGGGAAAATAAATTTTTAATTCTCATTATATAAATTTTTCATAACACTTCTTAGTTTAAGTTTAGATCAAATATGTCATCAGGTTATAAGTTTAGCAATTATTTGATAAACAGGAGTTTCAATAATATAAGTTTAAATTATTATAATACTGTGTACTTAAGCAATTTGAGTAGTTTATAAGTGAAGATGTGACTTGCAGAATAACAATTTCTAATAACAGTTCTCATTTGCATCAATTGATGTGACAGTAGTTGTATTACACATTTATGTAAATAATATTATAATTTGCAAATGTGAATATTATTGGGTATTTGATACCACACTAAGAATTGCTTAGAAGCTATTTTTGGCTCTATACTTCTGGGTGACCTTGGCAGAGTTCAGGGATATGTGTTGTAAGGGATCCTATTTAGGGGACAGACTGAGCACTTTAATCATCTCCATGTTATATTTCTGTTCCGGTGTATTCATTCTTTAAATTTTTATTTTATACTTTATTTATTTAAAATTTTATTTTATTTAAATGAAAATTTAAACAATTTTTATTTTAAATTTTTTAATTATTAAAAAATTAAATATATTTAAAATGTATTTAGACACCAGGATTTACAAAGTTTTTTAAAATGGGGTTTCCAATCTAGAATGTTTCCACCTCCAATCCCACCACTCCATGACCCCATTCCTCCTCCAGGGACCCCAAGTTTCCTCTCACTTCCCAACCTGAATCCTTGACAGACGCATTTTCTAATTTAATTATTGTAATTTGGTTTCCATACTTTATATAGTGTTGGATTTAGCAAATTACGTGTATTTATATTTTAAAACAGTAATAGTATGTATAATAAAGAAATAATTTTATAATGGAAATAATGTCTATTTTATTCAACACATTTGATATTAGCAAAGAAGGACCATTTAAATTATTAAGCTAAATTTCACAATGAATTTACATATTGACAAAAGTCATATGTTTTTATTATATTTATTTAAATTTTTAGTATAAACTTTTTTTTTCCCCTTTATTTTATTTTATTTTTTTTAAAGTTGTAGATTTACAATTTTTTGTGCTTTGGTTTCAATTATACAATGATCAGATACCCATCCCTCCACCAGTGCCCATTTTCCACCACCATGGATAATATCCCTCCCACCCCCATCCCCCCATCCCCCCTGTCTCTGTGGCAGGGCAATCCCCTGTGTTCTCTCTCTCCTTTTGGGTGTTGTGGTCTGCAAAAGAGGCATTGAGTGGCAAACATGTTCAGTCCATAGTCTACTTTCTACATGCATCTCCCCTCCTGGGAGGATCCTCCAAACATCCTTTATTTGGTGCTCCCTTCTCTATCTGAACAGCCCTTTCCTCTAGGATACCCGGCTGGCCTCTAAGTTATGGAGTAATCCTCCTGGTGCTGATCTCAGCTATTCTTGGGTATTAATCTCATACTTTGTTACTTTATATCCCCCAGATGAATGCAATCTTTCTATGTCTATCCCTCTCTTTCTGACTCATTTCGCTTAGCATGATACTTTCCATATTGTACCACTTGTATGTAAATTTCATGACTTCATCTTTTCTAAGAGCTACATAGTACTCCATTGTGTAGATGTACCAAAGTTTCTTTAACCAGTCATCTGTTCTTGGGCATTCAGGTTTCTTCCAGTTTCTGGCTATTGTAAAGAGGGCTGCAATGAACAAACAAGTGCAGATGTCACTTCGACTATACATTTTTGCCTCTCTGGGATATATTCCCAGGAGTGGTATTGCTGGGAATAATGGGAGCTCAATTTCTAATTTTTTGAGAATCGTCCATACTGTTTTCCAGAAGGGCTGAACCAGTGGACATTCCCACCAACAGTGAAGGAGTGTCCCTTTCTCGCCACATCCACGCCAGCATCGGTTGCTTTTGTTCTTTTGAATGTGGGCCAGTCTCTGAGGTGTGAGATGGTATCTCATTGTGGTTTTGATCTGCATCTCCCTGATGATTAATGATGTAGAGCATTTTCTCATGTGCTTTTTTGCCATTCGGATTTCTTCTTTGAGAAAGTTTCTGTTCATTTCATTGCCCCATTTTTGGATGGGGTTGGATGTTTTCTTCTTGTGGAGTTTAACCAGTATTTTGTATATCCTGGATATCAACCCCTTGTCAGATGTGTATTCGGTGAATATCCTTTCCCATTCTGTAGACTGTCTTTGTATTTTGGTCACTGTTTCTTTGGAGGTGCAGAAGCTTCTTAGTTTAAGATAGTCCCATTTATCTATCTCTGTTTTCACTTGCTCGGCCAGTGGCGTGGCATCTTTGAAGATACCATTAGCTTCAATGTCATGGAGGGTTTTGCCAACTTTATCTTCAATGTACCTTATGGTTTCTGGTCTGATGTTGAGGTCTTTAATCCATTTTGATCTTACTTTTGTACATGGTGTTAGGCAGAGTTCTGAGCCTATTTTTTTGCATGTAGCCGTCCAGTGATGCCAACACAATTTATTAAAGAGGCTTTCCTTACTCCACTTCACATTACTTGCACCTTTATCAAAGATTAGATGAGCATATGATTGAGGAGAGATGTCAGTGTATTCAACCCTGTTCCATTGGTCTGCAGTTCTGCCTTTGTTCCAGTACCATGCTGTTTTAATTATTACTGCTTTGTAGTACAGTTTGAAGTTCGGGAGGTTGATTCCTCCCATTTTCTTTTTCCCAAGAATTGCTTTAGCTATTCGTGGGGGCTTATTGTTCCATATAAATTTCAAGAGTGTTTGCTCCATTTCTTTGAAGAATGTCATGGGTATCCTTATAGGGATTGCATTGAATTTATACAATGCTTTCGGTAGTATTGCCATTTTGACAATGTTAAGTCTCCCGACCCATGAGCAGGGGATATCTTTCCATTTCCTCATGTCCTCTTTTATTTCCTGAAGTAGCGTTTTGTAGTTTTCTTTGTACAGGTCCTTTACTTCCTTAGTTAAGCTGATTCCTAGGTACTTGATTTTCTGGGGCACAATTGTGAACGGGATTGTTTTTTTCATGTTGCTTTCTTCTCTCTCACTGTTTGCGTATAGGAAAGCCATGGACTTTTGGGTATTGATTTTATAACCTGCAACTTTACTATACGAGTCTATTGTTTCTAGGAGTTTTTTGGTGGAAGTTATTGGGTTCTCTAAGTAGAGTATCATATCATCTGCGAAAAGTGAGAGCTTGATTTCTTCCTTTCCTACCTGAATGCCCTTAATATCTTTTTCCTGCCTAATCGCTATTGCAAGTACTTCCAGTACTATATTGAACAGCAGTGGAGAGAGTGGGCATCCCTGTCTCGTCCCTGATCTTAGAGGGAAGGCTCTCAGTTTTTCCCCATTGAGGATGATGCTTGCTGTAGGCTTGTGGTAGATGGCTTTAATTATGTTGAGGAAGGTCCCCTCTATACCCATTTTGGCTAGGGTTTTCATCATAAAGGGGTGCTGGATCTTATCAAATGCTTTCTCTGCATCTATTGATATGATCATATGCTTTTTATCTTTTCTTTTGTTGATATGGTGGATTATGTTGATTGATTTCCGAATGTTAAACCATCCTTGCATCCCTGGGATGAATCCTACTTGGTCATGGTGTATGATCTTTTTAATGAGTAGTTGGATTCTATTTGCTAGTAGTTTGTTGAGGATCTTTGCATCTGTGTTCATCAGGGATATCGGCCTGTAATTCTCTTTCTTTGTGGTATCTCTGTCTGCTTTTGGTATCAGTGTGATATTTGCTTCGTAGAAACTCTTCGGAAGTGTTTTTGATATTTCAATTTCGTGGAAAAGCTTAAAGAGCATTGGGAGTAAGTCCTCTTTAAAGATTTGGAAGAATTCACTAGTGAATCCATCCGGGCCAGGACTTTTGTGCTTGGGGAGACTTTTTATTACCATTTCAATTTCCTTGATAGTGATAGGTCTGTTCAGGTATTCCAGGTCTTCTTGGTTCAGCCTTGGGAGTCTGTAGGAGTCTAGGAATTTATCCATTTCCTCGAGGTTTTGATGTTCCGTGGCATAAAGCTTCTCAAAGTACTCCCTGAGGATCCTCTGAATTTCTGTGGTTTCTGTTGTAATGACCCCCTTTTCATTTCTGATTCGGTTTATTAGGGTTTTATCTCTCCCTTTCTTTGTGAGTTTTGCTAGAGGCTTATCGATCTTGTTAATTTTCTCGAAGAACCAGCTCTTGGTTTCATTGATCTTTCGGATTGTTTTTTGGGTTTCCATCTCGTTAATCTCTGCTCTGAGTTTTATTATTTCCTTTCTCCTGTTCGGGTTGTGCTCCTTTTTTTGGTCCTTCTCCAAGCTCTTAAGCTGTGAGGTTAGGTTACTTATGTGTGCTCGCTCCTCCTTCCTGAGGAATGCTTGTAGAGCTATAAACTTTCCTCTTAACACAGCCTTTGCTGTGTCCCATAAGTTTTGGTAACTCGTGTTCTCATTTTCATTCGTTTCTAGGAATCTTTTGATTTCCTCTTTGATTTCCTGTCTAATCCACTCGTTGTTCAATAGTGCACTGTTTAATTTCCAGGTGTTTGATTTAGTTTTCTGTTTTTGTGTGTGATTTACTTCTAATTTCAGCGCATTATGGTCTGAGAAGATTGTTGATACAATCTCTACCTTCTTAATTTTATGGAGGCATGTTTTGTGGCTCAGCATGTGGTCTATCTTGGAGAATGTTCCATGTACGCTTGAGAAGAATGTGTATTCAGCTTTTTGTGGATGAAGTGTCCTGTATATATCTACTAAGTCCCTTTCTTCCATTGTTTCCCTCAAATGAAGTATGTCCTTGCTAAGCTTGAGTCTGGTTGATCTATCAAGAGGTGACAAAGCAGTGTTGAAGTCTCCCACTAGTATTGTGTTGCTATTGATGTCTTTTTCCAAATCTATGAGTAGTTGTTTTAAGTACTTTGCTGGTCTCTCATTAGGTGCATATACATTTATTATTGTAAGTTCTTCCTGTTGTACAGATCCTCTGATGAATAAGAAATGGCCTTCACTGTCTCTTATGACCTTCCTCACTCTGAAATCGATGTGGTCTGATATAAGGATGGCTACCCCAGCTTTTTTATGGGAGCTGTTTGCCTGTAGGATTGTTTTCCAGCCTTTGACTCTGAGTCTGTGTTTGCTTTGACTATTGAGATGCGTTTCTTGCAGGCAGCAGAATGTTGGGTTCAATTTTCTAATCCATCCTGCCACTCTATGTCTTTTAATTGGTGCGTTTAGCCCATTGACATTGAGAGAGATTATTGTTATGGGATTTTGTCCCATTGTTCTGTTAAAATTTGGTGTATTTGAGGGGCCTTTCTTGCCTTAAAGTAGCCCATTTAGTTGTTCTTGTAACCATGGTTTTGAGACTATGAAGTTCCTGAGCTGTTGTTTGTCTGTGAAACTGTGTGTTGTTCCTTCTATTATGAATGAGAGTCTTGCTGGGAAAAGTATTTTGGGGGAGGCATTTATTTCATTGAGTTTTTTTACTATGTCCCACCACTGTTTTCGGGCCATGAGGGTTTCATCAGAAAAATCAGCTGTGAATTTTAAGGATGCTCCTTTGTAAGAGATTTCTTTCTTCGATCTTGCTGCTTTCAGAATTTTGTCTCTGTCTAAGGTTTTGGTCATTTTGATCAGAATGTGTCTTGGGGTATTTTTATTCGGATTTCTTCTAGCTGGTACCCTTCGGGCCTCCTGAATATGGTCACAAATTTTCTTCAGCTCTGGAAATGTTGTAGCAATGATGTCTTTGACAGTTTCTTCTTCATCGAGGTTTTCTTCCTGTCCCTCTGGGACTCCAATAATTCTTATGTTACCCCTCTTAGCTTCATCACGATCTTCTCTTGCCATCTGTTCCCGAATTGTGAGTCTCTTTTCCATTTTCTGCTCTTTTCTGGAGAGTCTCTGAACTTCATCTTCGAGCTCACTGATTCTGTTCTCAGCCGCTCTTACTCTGCTGCTGAGGCCTTCCACTGAGCTTTTCAATTCGCCTACGAGATTTTTCAGGTCTGACATTTCTGATTGCATTTTCCTCATTTCTGCCTTCAGATCCTCTTGTCTTCTATTGGCATTGCTTTCCATAGTTTCTTTTAATTCCCTAAGCATCCTAAGTAGCTCCCTTCTGAATTCCTTGTCAGAGAGGTTGTCTAACACTACAGTACTGTTGGTGTCATCTGGGCTAGACTCTTCAATGTGAATGTTTGGTGGGCTTTTGCGTTGCTTTACCATTGTGAGAGGTGTGGTTTAGTCCTTCACGTTCAGTGTTACTATTCTGCTTGATATGCAGTGTGAGTTAAGATAGGCTTATGAGTTATTGGCAACTGTGTTTCTAGTGGCTGAGCTAAACTAGAGAAGTTTCCATCTAAGAAGTTAGCTTATGGTTCCTATGGCATATGTAGTGGGAAAATATTTCGCGGCCGCTAATGCGGCCGCGGCTCCGGAAAGAGTCCCTGGCACTGGACGAGGAGTTGGGAATGTCTCCTGTTTGGAATTGGAGCCGTTCAGCTTTGTTGCCCAGAGCTGGGCCTCTGTGCCCATCCCACGCAGATCAGGGGTTGAAAACCGGCTGTCTAGGGGCTGTTTCTAGCTGCTCGTGCCCAGAGAGGAACCCAGGCCCTTGGGGGCGGGCTGTACCTGTTGGAATTGGAGCCGTTCAGCTTTGTTGCCCAGAGCTTGGCCTCTGTGCCCGTCCCACGCAGATCAGGGGTTGAAAACCGGCTGTCTAGGGGCTGTTTCTAGCTGCGCGTGCCCAGAGAGGAACCCAGGCCCTTGGGGGCGGGCTGTACCTGTTGGAATTGGAGCCGTTCAGCTTTGTTGCCCAGAGCTGGGCCTCTGTGCCTGTCCCACGCAGATCAGGGGTTGAAAACCGGCTGTCTAGGGGCTGTTTCTCTAAACTTTTAATTCCTATGGATTTCATCCTTATTATATGGCCCTGGAAGATGAGGAAAATGCTCATGGAGATTTTTTACTAAATAGCAATGCTATGGATAAAGCAATAAGTAGTGAACTTCCATTTTATGCGACATTTTAACACAATATCTTATGTGTAGATAAAAACAATAATATTTTGATTTTCAGAGGTTACATTTCAGCTAACTCCTGGTCTAACTTACCACACAATTGGAGGAATCTTGGACTTCTAATGTTTTAGTTTCCAACTCCAGAAGTTGCAACAAAGCAGTACCATAAAGTATTGCATCTTTTAAAAAATGTAATATTTTTTATAATAGTTTACAATTATTCTCTCAGTTCACAAATGAGTAAAATCCCCCCCACCCCCAGGTAATTGGCCATCCAGTCATGCCACCTTACTGGGCTATGGCATTCCATTTATATCAATATGGATATGAATTTACTTCAGAGATTGAACAACTCTATGAGGTTATGGTATCTGCTCAGATACTCTTTGTAAGTACATCACTTTTTTAAAGACAACATTTAATGTGGCACCTAAAATTATAAGTATTTAAACATATATATACTTTTAAATTAGCTGAATGTTTGATAATAATCCTAGTTGTGAGTAACATATTGTATGTGAAATTTTTACAAAATACCATTATTATATTAGCACTGTAGCACTGTCCTCCTGTTGTTCATCGATTTGCTCTAGCGGGCCCAGTAACGTCTCCATTGTGAGACTTGTTGCTACTGTGTTTGGCATATTGAATATATCATGAGTAGCTTGCCAGGCTTTTCCATGTGGGCAAGATACTCTTGGTAGCTTGCCAGGCTCTCCAAGAGGGGCAGAGGAATCGAACCTGGGTCAGCTGGGTTGGCCGCATGCAAGGCAAATGTCCTACCACTGTGCTTTCACTCCAGCCCTCCATTTTCATAATAATAAGTTACGATGAGCATTGTTTCATGTGCCTGTTGGCCATCTGTTGGTCCTCCCCAGAAAGGTGTCTATTCACTTCCTCTCACCATCTTTAGATTGCTGTTGTTGTTCTTAGAGAGAACTTTTAAGATTCTAGATATCAACCCTTTATCTGATGTGTTGAGTGCAAATATTTTCTCCCACTCTGTCTTCATTTAATTTTAGATGGTGTTTCTTTAACTATACAGAAACAATTCAGATTCATGTAGTCCTACTTTTTTTTGTGGTTATCTTATTTTCTCAGCACCATTTGTTAAAAAGACTGCCTTTGTTCCATTTCTTGTTCTCAGTTCCTTTGTCAAAAGTTAGTTGACTTAGTTGACTTATATGTGCTGGTTTATCTTCTCCTATAGAGAGATCACTTGATCACTTGACATCCCATTACTCATTGATTCGCTTGAGCAGACACCAGTAATGTTTCCTTTCATCCCTGTCGTGTGCTAGTGTAGCCCAATGGCATCTACTCGTTCTAGGCACACGAACAGCCTCAAATAGATCATTCAGTGTCTTGACGAAGTCTAACCATCTCATAGGTGGGCGGTCAAGCGATCTTTTGACATCCTGTGGAATCCAGTCAGTAGTGGCTTTAGTCCAGCGGTTGTTTCCAAATCTCATTACGTGTCCAGTCCATCTGATTTTTGATGCCTTGGCAAATGAGACAGCATCTCTGATTCCTGACTGTCAGTGGAGGTTGGAACTCCAGATTCTTTCTCTCATTTGAATGAAGTATAACTCCAAGCATAACTCTTTTGATTCCTCTTAGGGAGACACAAAGAGTGTTCTCATTCAGTTTTCGTAGGGCCCAGGTCTCTGAAGCATATGCTAATGCAGGAGGAACAGAAGAACTGGAGACATATGCCCAGAGCCGGAGTTTCTTTGTCCTCTTAGCTATGTCTTTGATGCTCCTGAAGGCGTTCCAAGTCGCTGTCATCCTTCTGCACAACTCAGGAGCCATGTCATTCATCATATAGACTTCTCAACCTAGGTACACATAACTGTTGCATTCGGAGATGTTCATCCCATTAAGAGTGAATGGAACGTCAGGAACAATACCATTTCTCATAAACATTGTCTTCGTGAGATTCAGCTGTAGTCTGACCTTTCCACACTCATGGTCGAAGTTGGCCTGCATATGTGCCATTTGGCTGATGTTTGGTGTTATTAGAACGATGTCATCAGTGAAGCAGAGGTGGTATAGTTGCCGACTGTCTATTTTCACTCCCATTCCTTCCCATTCCAGTCATCGCATGATGTTCTCGAGGGTGGCACTGAAGAGTTTCGGTGAAATGATATAACCTACCAAACCCCTCTCTTGACGTCAATGATCACCTGCCTCTAGAATGGTGAGATCCTGGTAGTGAATCTGTAATACAGTTCACAAAAGACCCTGATGTATTGAGTTTGAACGCCCTGTTTGGCTTGGGCTTCGGAGACCACTTCAGTCTCAACAGAATCAAAGGCCTTCTTTAAATCAATGAACATTAGACAGAGCGGCATCTTGAACTCCCGAGAAACCTCAATGAGCTTGATTATCGTGTGGATATGGTCGATGGTGCTGAATCCTGTTTGGAACCCAGCTTGCTCGCATGGTTGTCCATCATCCAGTGTTCTGCCAATCCTATTCAGGATGACTTGAGTGAACAGCTTGTAGACGACATACAACAGGCAGATTGGGCGATAGTTGCCAATGTCATGGATGTCTCCCTTTTTGTACAGTAGTACAGTCTTGCTGGTTTCCCATTGGGATGGAAACTTGCATTCAGACAGGTAGCATGTGAAGAGCTTAGCCAGTGTATAAATGAGTACTGATGGCAGGTTCTTCAGAAGTTTGGTTCTGACATTGACTGGGCTGCGTGCTGTTTCCTTCTTTACCAATAAAATGGCATTTTGGATTTCAGATAGGAGAACGTTGGGAATGACATATCCATCCTGGAGAATTTGGTATGTCGGCAGGTGAACTTGGCTATCGAAGAGATCCGAGTAGAAGTCATAGATAATCTTCGCCATTGCCCTTCTGGAAGATGTGATAGATCCATCAGGACATCGTAGGGCAGTCATCTTGGTCTTGTAGTTGGTAAAGGACAGGCAGGGGTTGCAAATGCTTTTCCAGCTTCTGCCAGATCTGTCAACACTGCTGCTCTACTCTCTTTGAGGTCTTCCTTTATCTCTTCTCTACCCTGCTTTGTGAGCCCGGACATTCGCTTGTGGTTGCCTGAGACTTGCACCAAGCCACTTTGGCTAATAAGCTCGAGAGTTTTCAAAGACAGTTGTTTTTTTGTAGCTATCTCTCTCTCCACGTTCTTTGCACAATTGTGGAGGTGCTGAATCACTGGATCATATTCCTCGTCAATGTTGTCAATGACGGCATTTTCCCATGTTTCCACAATAGTGCTGAAGAGCTCCCAATTGGTGGTTGGTCTGGGAGTTCTCTTTTTAAACTTTGTACCCATTTCTCTCTTCTCTGTGAAGTAGAATTTTTCATGAAGGAGATGGTGTTCCGATCCCGTTTGGAATTTTGGGACAACAGCAACATCTCTCAGGCAAAACCTTTGATTGTATATGATGTGGTCAATTTTGTTATGGAATGGTCCACTGGGAGACTCCCATATCCAACGTTTAGATTTGGCCTTCTGGAACTGTGAGTTACCATAGATGATCTTGGTCGACATGATGAACTCAGACAGTCTGTCACCTTGTTCGTTCCATTCTAGGTTATAGGTCCCAATGTGGATGGAGTTCTTTAGCTGATCTTCTTGGTCCTATCTTGGCATTAAAATCACTAAAAATGGTCTTTTAGAAGGTATGGTCTTCTTTATGGAACTTCTCCAGTTCCATGTAGAACTTCTCAATTTCTCCATTATAATTTGATGTTGGTGCATAGACAACAAAGATAGAAACTGCCGGAAGTGAGTCACATCTATTCAAGTGTAATCATCCGATTCAGGTTGTTAGGCTTTGAATGAATCAATATTTATGGCCAAGTTTATTTTGACAAGTCACCAGTACCACCGACACCTCTTTTGTCAAATGTTCCTAGGAGCAGTTCTTCTCCATTGTCAAAAACGGTGTGTTCTTCTCCCAACACCCTTTATTTGGTGCTCCCTTCTCTATCTGAGCTGTCTGTCCCCCTAGCATGTGTGGATGGCCTCAAAACCATGAAGTAAAATTCCTGGTACTAATATCAGCCATTCTTGGGTGTTAGTCTCCTCTTTTGTTACTTTATGTTCCCCAGATGAATGCAATCTATGTCTATCCCTTTCTTTCTGAGTCATTTCGCTTATCACCCATTGCCTCTTTTGCAAACCACAACACCCAATAAGAGAGAGAGAACAAAAGGGAATGCCCTGCCACAGAGGCAGGGTGAGATGGGGGTGATGGGGGGTGGGAGGGATACTGGGATCCGTGGTGGTGGGAGATGGGCACTGGTGGAGGGTTGGGTATTTAATCATTGTATAATTGAAACCCAAGCACAAAAATTTGTAAGTCTACAAGTGTACCTCACGGTGTCTCACTAATAAAAATTAAAAAAAAAAAAACAATGTGTGATGCTTTCTCGTCTCAGTCAGACCAATGATGTTGTACTTGATCTTTTGTGCTTGCACCATCAGGTCCTCAATGGATGCATCCGATGCCAGCATAAGTGCATTGAAAGTAAAGATAGTCATTTTTTTTCCTTCTTCGTTTTAGCAGCCTAGTTCGGCCGTGAGATTTTAATAGCCTCTCATTCCTCATCCTTCTTAACACTGCCGTATTGGTGGCTTTTTTAAGATCAGAGGAATGAGACCCATTGTATTTACTGGTTTTGTCACATCGAATATGCCACGGATGCTTGCCAGGCTCTGCAGTGCGGGTGGAACACTCTCGGTAGCTTGCCAGGCTCTCTGAGAGGAATAGAGGCTTTCAGGGCAGCCTTTAATCATCTTTGCAGGTGTTCCCATGGTTCAAACTGTTGGAGTACAAGGAGCTTAGGTTTATCAGGTTGCACCCATCACAGTGCTCCCGAGTCACCCCCATTACTTTGTTTGTCTGTAACTACTTCTTTGTGCTCTCTTCCCCAACCAATTTGTAAGGTCTCATCCTTCTAGGACACTGAACTTGTACCGTAAGTTAATATTGACTTTCTCCTCTCCTTATGTCTTTTGAGCAGTTTACTTTAATGCAATGTCCTTTTTGTATAGATACAGGAAGACAATTAATATTATGCTTTATAACAGGATTTAATTGGCTTTGAATATTATTCACTCTTGGGCATATGCTTTCTCAACTCAAGCCTCAGTTGCCCTCACTTCCTAGCACCCCAAGGGCAGGGTCCCGACGTGGGACTGGATGGAACCAGGGCAAGCCGGTAAGTTATGTGCTACCCTGGCATTGAGATGGACCAGGCCAAGGTGCCACGATTCTTAACTATAGGTTAAGAGTTTGATCATAAGCAAATGCTGTCATGATCCAAAAGTAACGACGAGACTAGGACCCTGCTGCAGGAATAGGAAAGATATCTGGCCTGAGCACTGCAGTCTGAGATTGAGATGAC